GTCAAAATGGGTGTACAAGGTAAAATACAAACCAGATGGAAAAATAGATAAATACAAGGCAAGACTAGTTGCCAAAGGCTATAATCAGGTGGAAGGGGAAGACTTTTATGAGGTTTTCTCACCAGCGGCTAAGGTTGTAACTGTAAGATTGCTATTTGCTGTTGCTGCTGCTAGACAATGGTCTCTTTATCAAATGGATGTAAATAATGCATTCTCACATGGATTTTTAGAGGAGGATGTGTACATGATACCACTTCAAGGTTATTTGAAGGCTTCTACTAGACAGGTTTGTAAACTAAAGCGTTCATTATATGGCCTGAAACAGGCTTCTCGGCAATGGAATCAAGAGTTTACTTCTAATCTTCAATACTATGGATTTGTTCAGTCTTATCATGATAACTGCCTCTTTATTCTACAAAGATTAGACTGTTGCTATTGCTACTAGTGTATGTTGATGATATTTTGATTACTGGAAGTTCATATGAGGAGGTGGTGAAGGTCAGACAATATCTTGATCAGGAATTCACAATCAAAGATTTAGGAAAGGCACATTATTTCTTGGGTATGGAGATACATTATTCATCAGATGGAATTTCCATAAATCAACAGAAGTACATTGCTAAAGGATACAAATATGCTTGATTGCCATGCTGTAGCTACACCATTACCAAGAGATCTTAGATTTCCTTCAGAAGATAAGGATACTACTCCTCTTCTTGCAGATCAAGGGCAATACAGAAGACTCATTGGTCGATTACTCTACTTGAATTTCAGCAGACTAGATTTAACTTTCTCAGTTCAGCAATTAAGCCAATTTGTACATTCACCACATGAGTCTCATTAGGGAGCAGCTTTACATGTGCTTAAGTATTTAGCAGGAAACATCTCAACAGGCTTGTTTTATCCTCATGATGCAGCACTCAATCTCACTGCTTATAGTGATGCTGACTATGGTTGCTGTCAGACCACTAGACATTCTATCACGGGATATTGTATCTTCTTGGGGAAGAGTTTAGTTTCTTGGAAGGCAAAGAAACAGACCACCATATCATGTTCACCAGCTGAGGCTGAATACAGATCAATGGCTTCTACAGTTATGGAATTACAGTGGATTTTGTATCTGCTCAAAGATTTTCAAGTTTCAGTTTCTCTTCGTATCTCTTTTTGGTGTGATAATCAAGCCGCCTTGTACATCACTGCCAATCCCGTCTTCCATGAGCATACAAAACATCTGGAAGTCGATTGTCATGTTGTTAGAGATCAATTCAAGGCGGGTTTCATATCTCCTCAGCATATATCAACTCACGATCAACTGGCTGACATATTCACTAAGCCCCTCAGTGCTCCTCGTTTCTGTCAGATTCTGTCCAAGATGAGCCTCAATAATGCTCCTCTTGCAAGGGGGGTGTTACAATATCTGAATGAAGAACAAAATTCAGGAGATCAATCACTGACAGCCGTTGACTCCACATCAGCTAAATCAGGAAATTCTTCCAGCATCAGCAGGACCACACGTACTCAGCTTCTACTTTCACAGGAAGCTTCCAGAGATGACATGGGCAGCAAGTTGCGTCAACCACCGCTTGATCCGTCTCTCTGTAACAGACCTTGGCACCGGGGAATGTTCTGGAACACGATTCCACGTCATTAATCCGGCACAAAAATGATATGTAACCATTAGATTAGAGCTGCAATGTATATAGTTAATTTGTAACCATTGGATTAAAGTGTGTTTCTTTGTAGAGATGATTAGTACCAGTTAGTTGTAATCTTGATGTATATATATCGCATAGAAGGCAGCTTGTAATACTGACGGAATATAGAGAATATACTTGAGAGCATTTCTCAGTTTTTCCCCAATCTTCAAACCCTAAGGGTTTTGTTCATACGAATTCAATCAATTCCTCTGTTTCTTCTGGATAAATCATGATCGTATATTGTGTTTTGTATGAACCTTGATATTGATGGAAAATTACCTTTGAATCATGAGATACTTTATCATTTGCAGGTAAGTGTATCTTATGTAGATGTTGTTTATTACAGTGGCTACACTTGTTATGTTGCATTTATATTCTCTTCATCAGTTCTAAAATTTGTACATTATCATAGAAAGTTAGTAGCTATAATATGCTTTTTCATAAGAGCGTATGGGGCATCATAGCCTTTTTTGTTGTAGCATGATATACAGGATCCAAAAATCAGGCTACTTGTAAACATTTTTTGAGATACTAGATCACAATCTTTCCTTTCTCACATTTGATTTGGATGTTATTAGGGAATATGCCTTAACCTGTGCGTTGCAGTAGTTAGTCTAAAAGTCACTCTGTCTTGACTCATTCAATTTTGTTTTCTTTCTCACACGCCAACATTGGTTTAGTGAAGCACAGCAAGTGAATCATTAATTGCTTCCGTAGACAATCGACTTTTCATATACCTTTTGCATTGATTTTGTTTCTCTAGGTATATCCTCAAAGCAATGGTTATTCACTGCCTCGTATCTGTGGGATTAATTCAGACTTTGACATCCAAATATACGGAACTTGTTTTTTTTTGACTGTCCTCTTATGAAATACATTTGTTTTTCTGCAGGATTGGTTTAACCTGCTTCCAAATCTCAATGTATCTGAATTAATAAAATCATTTGCAGGTAAGTTTGTCTGTTATTATATAGTTTTTGGTGGATGTTTGCTTTCTTTGGTGAAGCGCCTTCCCTCAGACACAGATAGAGTAGGTAATATAACTTCCCTCTGTCTTTTTTCGGCAGTGAAAACAAATGATCAAATGCTGGTTTTATACCTTTCTTCCCTTATCAGAAGTATCATCGCACTGCACAACTTGATCAACAACAAGGATAATCTTTATCACTTTTTAGCATTTGCTGCCTTGATAGTGGTCATATATTATACGCGATATATTAAATACTCTTGAGAAAGTTTCTGTCCATGCCTGGGCTGCATGTCAACAATGATGTGGCTGTTTCCTCTTTTCTTTTAGATGCTTAACAAAGAGCACGAGAAAACTGAAGATTCAAAGCCAGTTGCTGTGCTGACTGCAGCCGGAAGCTGATCATGTAAATGTGTCAAGAGATTTTATTTTATTTGGGACCCTTTTGGAGATGGAATTGTGAACCTTTTAGAGTTGCTGGAAAAGAAGTCTTGTCCGTGATTCTGACACAACCTCCGGAATGTTGTTCGGAATGATTTTACCTTAGTATGTGAGGAAGTTTACCAGATCCTTGTTTTTTTCTCTGGATCACAGGTAGAGAGTTCACATTGGAAAGTAGACTGAGACATCAATCATACTTTCCAACACTTGTATTCACTCTCGATCGGACAATTGATTATTGCAGCATGGTATTTCCTGCCTCAAATCTAGCATCTTCTCACGATTGTATGGCCTTTGCAAATCAAACTGGCAAAATGCAGGCCCAATGATTTCCCTCACTCTGTAAAAGTGATTTGAGGAACATGATCATAAAGTGAACATAAATTGACGTTAACATATGGTTCTTTTGTTGAATCAAACGATAAAGCGGGCTTTACCTTTTTGAAATAAACTTACTCCCTCTGTCTCAAAATTATTGTCCAGTTTGAGATTTCAATTTTAGTACAATTTGAACTAAAACTGAAAACCCAAACTGGGCAATAACCATATAGTGATCAACGCATGCAAATAATTATGATTATTGTTGGCCTAATAATATATTAATATCTAAAAGACTGCAAAGCCACATACTGTGATCGAACTCTCTGTTAACCAGCAGCATGTACCAGGTAAGTCATAATCAATCTCCTGATCAAGAGGAAAACATCAACTGAATTAATCATCCTAGTTACAGCAGAAAAAACCCATAACTCGAGTAAGTATAGCGTAAGTGTACCCTGTACCCGGCCCTTTTTCTCCCTCTAAGCTTTCGTTTGAATGTAATCCAAGGATGCGTTCAAATGCCTGTTATCGAAGGTAGAATATAGTAAATGGTAGATCTCCAGGCAGCATTTCCATCACCGTTTCTCCAAATCTGCCTATCTTGTCATCAATCTAGTTTGTTATGTAGATCTCCAGGATGCGTTCAAATTTTTGTCATCGAAGGTAAAAGATAGTTTGGTATGTTTTTGCCTAAAGGAACCTCGGGGTAAATTCAGGATTCAGGAAGTCCAAATGTTGAGAGAAACAGAACAAAGAAACAACAAAAGAAGATAGAAGCGCAAAGAAAAGCATAACTGGAATCTTCAGAATGCGAACCCGCGTGAAATTCATCTACTAAACAATTCAATGATGTAAGGGAAAAAAAAAAAACAATTCGATCAAAAATACATTGGGGTTTGTTTCAATCAATAATATAAGGATAATATACCAATTTGACGGTTAAGCATTTAAGGCGTTTTGCCTACTACAGAATTTTTTACTATTCCTTTTTGCGGGTGACAAGATGTTATGAATGATCAGTGCATTCGTTTATCTTGTGTACTATTCCTTTTTTTGGGGACCATCAAGGTATTATGATGTCGAAAAGACCAGATCGTAAGGGAAAATTTTTTTTTTGAAAAAAAGTACTTGTATATTATATTAATTAAGAAATACCTAAATTATTACATTACATTCTACATTATGCTAAATTATGTAACGGGAATAATAACACTGGCTTCAATAGCCTCGAAAACCTTTTAAAACATGGAGTCATGGATCAAACTTTTGTGGGCTTTTGGATTTGAACTTTATACTTCTCAAAATAGTAGTATTATACTATTGCAAGTTTAGCTTATAGGTTTTGCACTCATCTCTAATTTGGTTTTTTTCCTTTTAATTACTTCAAATACACAATAGGAGTACACACCTGAGAGCAGCAATGTAGCTCACTTTTGAATGGAGGATGCTTACATAAATGCAGATTACAAAGGGAAAAAGAATTCAGTAGTTCCGAAACAAATGGCCTAGATGATCCAGTTTTTCTAAGAACTAATGTTTTACATCGTCTCTATGGCCCAAAAAAAAAAAAAATGCTAGTCTTTACAAAAACTTTTTGAACAAATCAAGCTTGCATCTGCGAACATTTTGTGTAGCTTATTTGCACTTGGACGGTCTCTCGGGTCACTCTCCGTACACCAACGGTACATCGACACAAGAAACCTCAGCATTTTAGTTTCGATTTCCGATTCCTCGAGCCGTGCCATCGTTTCTGGATCATCCAACACCCTGCTGCAACAATCAACCAATCCTTCCAGCTCTTTGGTTAGCGGTGGCCGCTTTCCTCTCTCAAGATTTTTCTGAATGTCTTGGTCCTCTATACCTGAGTAAGGATTTTGCAATGTCAGCAGTTCCAGAATCAGGCATCCATATGACCAAATATCAACTTCCAGACCGTACAAGCTGTTTTTGGTCCTGGCTCGCAGCACCTCTGGAGCCATCCAACGTGGGGTTCCAACACAAACTTCCGGAGGAGGTATACCAGTATGAGCAATACAACATGAATGTAAGCTTGCGCGAAGAGGGACTGCCCTATCAAAGTCGGCGAGCTTCACAGTAGGCGAGTTATCGTCTTTCTTCTCATCCAGGTCGATCAAAACATTTTCACTCTTTATGTCGCGATGAATAATGTGCCTAGTGTGCAGTTCCGCCAATGCAGATGCAACATCTCGAGCAATAAACATTGCCAACAAAACAGGAACATGGTTTGCGCCAGTCCTTCCTAGTTCTTTCAAGTAAAGCTTCAAGGAACCTCCTTTTATGTACTCCATAAATAGGGCCGATTGCAAGATGCGGACATCTGGATTTCCATTCGATGATGAAACCCATTTAGATGAGACCTGATGACCATAATATTTCACAATGCAAGAATGTGTTAAAGAACTCAGCATTCTGGCTTCCCCTAAACAAGAGAGCTCAAAATTCCTGATCTTATCTGCAGAAGTCCCGCATACTTCCCGTGTACGCACCTTTGCTGCAGCTTTAACTGATCCAATTGTACACTCCAGAACGGTATTAGATTCCGTCTTGCCTAATTGCTCAGAGTTAGAAAGTGCAGGGAATTCTGGAGGAGAATTATCATCAGTGACAACAGATGCAGTAGTCATCCGACTTAAAGGAATATACCTACAGAAATACTCAGGATCTGTTTCCTCTCTTATATCATTTGGATGGCATGCATCCACGATCACGCGAACCCACGACTGACCCTTCTTTATAGTAATCACATTCCAGGCGTGGGGTGAAAAATCCAAAAAGCCGCGAACAAGTTCACATTGTAACGGAGGATTCACCCTGTCGCAGAGGTACTTCATAAGTACAGCTCTATGTCTGCACACACCAAACTGCAGGCTACCAATAGGAACAACAACTGACTTAAGTCTTCCCTTTATAGATTGAAGAGCCTTCTCACATATATAATGGAAAGCAATGTCTCCAGCACCATCCAGACTCTCTTCCATGGCTCTTTTAGTTCTGTCATCATTGCCTGTTGGGCAAGTGCAGACAAAGGGTTTCAGATAGTTTGAACCAGAAACATCCTTTCTTGCTTTCAGCACAACGGCACTTTTGTCACTACCACCAAAATGGTCAGAAATGAAAAAGGCAAGCAAGGACGCAATCTGAATAGAATCAGTAGCTCCATTAGCACTTTCCTTTAGTAATCCATTAATCCGCCTGAACTGAGACACCAGTGCTTGAGCACAGAGCAGAATGACGTCAAGTTTCTCGTCTCTTTCCCGATCCAGAAGAATAACTTCACGTGAGTCAAGCGGCAGAATTTCCTCATAACTATTCAGAGGCATAAACGGTCTATCTCGCCCGGCATCATAAAACCCATCCGATAGATAGTCATCCATTGAACAGTATGAAACCCGGTTATACTTGCTTGAGATGTCTAACTGATTGCCCATCGGTCTTCTATATTTCCTAGGCTTGGGGTTATCAGGTTCTGCATCAGAATGCCTTTTTGACTTTGTTAAACCGCTGGATGCATCAGAACCTAAGCATTCATCTTGCAGATCACCAGCAATCGGTATAGAACTTAAAGATTCATCATCGTTCCCCTCACAAGCACTCTTCATCTTCTTATGTTTCTGATGAGAGTCAAGCACATTGCAGGCGCACCTCCGATTATAAGCTTCTTCCTTCAAGGTTGTTAAATCATCATCCTGCGTAATTGTAACTGAATTCTGAAAGTCATCATCATCTTCATATGATAATTTTCTGCCCCGAACCTCCTCAACTAGAATAGCGGATGAACCATCGACCACAGAGTCATCAGGACACATCAAACAAGCTTCAGGAGATTTTCTAATAGCAGAGTGATTTTTCACTTTCCCCTCCCCACTGCTGCTATTCAATCTTTCTTGACGAGCTCTTTGTTGCCAATTGTGGAGTCTTTTCCATCCCTTTGACTTCCTCGTAGAAACAGATGTTGTCGAGACAGAATGGCTCATTGTTATTACAGAAGAATCTTTTGCACAATCAGCGGCCAGAGGCAAACATTCTACACCATCCATATCTGCAGAACTGACAAACTCATCAATTAACAAATCTTCTCCATTCCCTTCAAAGTTGCAGCATATCCATGAAGGTATTTGACCACAAACACGAAGCCTATTGTTCTGAAGATTTAGCCTCTGAAGGGTAAGCATCGATTCAAGTTCTAACCAGACGAAGGATGCCAACCTATTGTTCGAGACATCCAACTTCTCTAATCTTTTCATGGAAGAAAAACCAGACGGAAACTCTACCAACTTATTGTTTGCAACCTCCAGAGACACTAAGGATTCCAAGAAGGTTATCTCAGCTGGCAAGTTCTTCATCTTGTTAAACGAAAGGTCCAAATACTCCAAATTACACAGATGACCAATTTCAGGAGGAAGGTACCTGATTGAGAAATGGCAAACAGAGAGCTTAGTCAAGCTCTTCAGGGCAGCTATGTCGCCAAGAGCAGGAACCGACGATGGCTTGGAAGGTGCTCTACTCAGCTCCAGCTCTTTCAAAGACTTCAACTTGCCGAAATCTAACCCGCTTAACACCGGTGCGGCGGCGGCTTTCACTTGCAGGCATTCCAACCCATTCAAATAGCTGAATTCCTCAGGACACAAATTCAACTCATTCGCGAAAAATTTCAATGTCTTCAAGGACTTGAGAGAACCCACTGAGCTCGGAATGAGATTGAAGAAGTTCTTGTACAGATACAGAGATTCAACCGATGTATCAATCCCTTCCAGCACCGGAAAATCGAAACTCTTCACGGAAACATCAAATACAGATCCCAAATCGTCAATTTTGTCCGTCTTCTGCTCATTATCAAACACTGATCCCAAATCATCAGTTTTGTTCCCGGCCATCTGCTCATTATCAAACACTAATCCCTCAGTATCGTTCAATTCTTGAACCTCCAAAAAAAAAAAAAAGGTTAAGCTTTCATGATCTACACGGATTATTCCAAGAGAAAATCGGGTTGTTTGAAGTACCCAACAAAAATTGAATAATATGGGTTGTGTGTAAATTTATACATAAAGAAAAGAAAGAAATCAATCAAGAAAACTTCGGGGTTCCAATAGGGGGTTATCAATGGAGGATGCAGAGGATATTGAGAGTGTCATCGGATTTTAAAGACGCGGAGGGAGTGTATGGATGTCGGTCTTTTGTAGAGATTCCGAGCAAGAAAAATCCTTTAAGGAAAAGGAAAAGAAAATAAAAATATCACTTTCAGTTTGATGGGCTTTATATCAATCAGGCCCAAAATGAAACAAGATTACAATCACTATAATATTACAACTACACATAAACATAATATTTAATTCAAAATTATTACGTTCGCATCATGCAACATATGTAGATCTAGATTTATTCAAACATTTAGTACTCAATTATTTTTCTCTCTCTCTCTCTCTCACTCTGAAAAAAGTTGTAACTCTCTGTCACTCAACCGTTCTCACTGAACCCTTTGCTCCTGTCCTAATGGACACGGAGATGGAGCAATTAGCTCCACTTGATTTTGATAAAGACAATCCAACTATTACTAAAGAACAGAATAGTGAAGGCATGAAAGGAAACTCAATCAATGGGGAAGGCACATCTGCTGGAGCAATCCCAAATACTACAAATCCGACAAAACCAACATTCAAGGAAACTCTACAAGGGAAGAGGACTAGATTTAAGGAGAGAATTAGCTTGGAAGATGGGGATGTGATTCACGGAATGGTGGACGGCATCAATAGCATTGACTTCTCACCCAGGATTCTTACCAAGATGAAACAAGCAATGGGGTATACGATTGTTCTTAGACCTTTGGGACAAGCATTCAAATTTGACAACCTCAACATCAGGTTAAAAGATCTTTGGAATCCTAAAGGGGACATGTTTCTATCGGATACAAGACAGGGTTACTATCTAGTTCAACTAGATGAGGAAGAGGACTACAATAACATTCTGTTAAATGGTCCTTGGTCACTTTCGTACCACTATCTTACTGTATATCCATGGCATCAAAATTTCAACATAAATGATGAGAATCTATCAATGGTGGCCACTTGGGTTAGAATCCCAGATCTATCAATTCAGTTTTTCCACGAAGAAATCCTAGAGTCAATCGTCCGGCCGATCGGCAGATACATTAAGGCTGATTCACACACCTTAGCGGCGGAACGGGGGAGATTTGCGAGGGTGGCAGTGGAAATCGACATTACTAAGCCTTTAATTGGAAAACTCAGAATTGTGGGCACAACCCATCTGATTGAATATGAGGATTTACAGAGGATTTGTTTCTCATGTGGCAAATATGGCCACACCATGGAGATTTGCCCGTCCAAACCACCGGATCCAGTTTCGAGTGAAGCGGCACAACCTCAAACACAAAAAGCAGAAACTCCGACCGCCGGCAGTAATATTAATTCGTCGGTGTTTTCTCCGGCCCCTGCCTCAACAGCCCCACCTGCACAAACTTCGATGGCTACCCAACGGTCCGAAACCACAATAGGGCCCTGGATGTGTGTGCGAAAGTGGGGCAAACGCCCCTCCAACTCGGTCAATCCTAGGACGCAGACCAAGGAAATAACGGCTAAAATGAACAACGTTAACAAATTTGCAATCTTGGCCGACCCAAAATTCTCAGAAGAAGTACCAACCAGAGTCTTTAACGTAGATGAATCAACTATGGCTTTTCCTGCTTCCTCTAGTATCTCAGGTCACAGGAAAGGAGTGGACCTTGCAAAATCTAAGAGACCAAACCCACCTAGAGTATCGGCAAAGAGAAAACCCGAGGCATTGGGCTAAGAGAAGGCTTGGATAAAAAAGTCAACAACTCAGAAAATATGACGAATCCATTAAAGGCCCCCACACCCGACTCAACCCAATTAGGAAGTGGTCTAACTCCAGTCTCAGCCCAATTGGGCCAGCCACAACCTATTATGAATGAACCTATATATGTCCCATCTCAAGTTTCAAGTTTAGAACCCAGTCCAGCCTCAAATAATTCTAACCAAGACAGTCAAACTCAAACTCATACAATCATCACTATCCCTCATCCAAACGTTACGTTTCATTCCGAAATCCCTAGAAATGTCTTTGACGATGTGAACATGCAAACAGACCTTCCCCCACAACCAACAAAACCACCAGATAACTTCAAAACCTTCAATTTAAAGCCTAAACTCAAAATCAGAAGGGAATCTATAGCAGAGGGGAATCAGTGTAATGAGGACTCTGAAAACATCCATGAAATGCTCGAATATCAACTAATGGAGGAAGAAAACTCAGGAATGATCGATGTGCAGCTGTTGGATGGGGATCCGGACGGAATTCCTGGATCCGACAGGTAAGTAGGTACCATATCCCTTTATTTTAAGGTTTATATGGAGTGCCAAATCATGACATGGAACTGCCAAGGGGCAGCTAATAAAAAAACTATATCTCAAATAAAATCACTTATCAATATGTATAACATATCACTTTTTGCTATATTTGAACCTAGGATAAGTGGTAGTGATACAAGTGAGATTATTCGTGAAATAGGAATGGACAATTCGCATAGAGTTGAAGCTGTAGGTTTCTCAGGTGGTATTTGGATTTTATGGAAAAATGCTATTTCTGTTCAAGTTATTACGAATGACTGGCAGTTTATTTTGTGCAAGGTTACCTTCTTTAACAATGTAGGTACATATATTGCATGTGTGTATGGGAGCCCTCAGCCACATATCAGGCGTCAATTATGGCACAACCTTGAAGAGATGGCTTCTGATATCTCTGGTCCATTGATGGTATGTGGTGATTTTAATGCGTTTACAGACTCTAACGATAAAATTGGAGGACGCAGATCACCAGGATGCAAATATTTTCGGGAATGGATGGTAAATTCAGAATTACAAGATCTTGGTTTCACAGGTTGTAGATATACCTGGAAAAGGGGTCTATGTCACGAGCGAATTGATAGGGCGGTGGCTAACAGCTTGTGGGATTATACTTTTGAAAGAACGACGGTTAATCACCTCCCACGCGTGGCATCTGACCACTCTCCTGTATTGATCGCTATTGTTTCCAAGGGAAAGATTACAGTCAAGCCAAACAATTTCCGTTACCTAACAACTTGGGAATCTCATGAGTATTGGACTACCTGGCTGGAAGAGAATTGGAACAGGGAAATAGAGTTGGTGGAAGCACAACAACATCTAACCAACCAAATTAAAGATTGGAAGTTCAATATTTTTGGTGATATTTTCAAAAGAAAGAAAAGAGCACTCGCAAGATTGGCAGGACTACAGCACATCCTAGCCTATAATCCAACAGAGGGCCAGCGTGTTCTTGAGCGGGAACTTAGAGAGGAATATGAAAGGGTTGTTACACAGGAGGAACTTTTGAAAGCTCAAAATGCTAGATCCATATGGCTGTCGCAGGGTGATAAAAATTCCAAAGTCTTCCATGCCATCCATAAGCAAGCAAAACTCAAAACAAGAATCAAGATGATGCAGTTGGAAGATGGAACATGGTGTGCTGATTCTGATTCTCTAGCCAAAAAAGCAACATAATTTTTTGCCTCAATTTACTCAGGGGATGCAGGTACGAGGGGGCAGTACCCAGTTCAAGGAAGGTTTCCAAGACTGAGTGAGAATCACAAGCTAGTGCTCGAAGCAAATATTCTTAATGAGGAAGTTAGTGCAGTATTGTTTGACATGGATCCCTTCAAAGCACCTGGGATGGATGGGTTTAATGCTTGCTTCTATCAACACAATTGGGCTACTGTTGAGGAGTCTGTGTGCAAGATGGTCAAGAAGGTTTTTGAATGTGGACAGGTGGATCAACAGATTAACAAAGCTCTGGTGGTGCTAATCCCTAAAACTAGTAGACCGGAGAGGTTTCAACACCTAAGACCAATCAGTTTGATTAATGTCTCAATCAAGATTGTGTCCAAAGTAATTGCGAATAGGCTGAAGAAGGTTACGCCGCATCTTACACAGCCAACACAATCAAGTTTCGTACCTGGGAGGAACATAGTTGATAACATAATAATCGCTCAAGAGGCAATTCACACGATGAGGAACACCAAAGGGAAGAGAGGGTGGATGGCAGTGAAAATTGAGCTAGCTAAAGCTTACGACAGAATAAGTTGGGCTTTTATTAAGGATACCTTGGAGGACGTCCAGATTCCACCATTTTTTAGCAGGGTGATCCTTCATATGCTCGAGACTGGCTCTACACAAATATTCTGGGATGGAACCATAGGGGAGTCGTTTACGCCAAGCAGGGGAGTTAGACAAGGGGATCCAGTTTCTCCTTATATTTTTGTTTTGTGTATGGAACGGCTTTCACATGCGATTAATAGTCAGGTGGAGAATGAAAGGTGGAAACCGTTGGTTTTTGGCACGGGAAACAACAAAGAGACCCTGTCACATTTAATTTTCGCCGATGATTTAATTCTTTTTGCTGAAGCATCACTGCAGCAGGCCACAATCATTCAAGAAATTTTGCAATGTTTCTGTAATTTCTCAGGGCAAACAATCAGCAGGGATAAAACAGTTCTCTACTGCTCACCAAATGTCAAAGAGAAATTGGCTACAACCATCAGTCACAATATTGGAGTACATTTGGTTAAAGATTTAGGTAAATACCTTGGAGCACCAATTATACATGGTCGCATTACTAAAGATACATATAAAGATGTAGTAGCCAAAGTTCGAGACAGAGCATCTAAGTGGAATCCACGGAGAATATCACTTGCGGGAAGACTCACGCTATGTCAATCAATTCTAACTGTAATGCCCATTTATCTCATGCAATCATCGGTCCTCCCTAAAGCAACGAGTGATGAGATCGACAAGATTAGGAGAGGTTTTTTGTGGGGCTCAAATACATAGAGCAAAAGGTTGAGTCTTGTTGCTTGGGATTCAGTTTGTCAACCTAAAAAGAGAGGCGGCCTTGGTCTTCGTAAGCTAAGGGATGTTAACATGTGTCTTATGCTGAAAATAGCATGGGGTATTATTGGCGGAGGGCAAAGCTTGTGGCGTATAATTTTGTTGGCTAAGTATGGTATCCCCAGAGAGCACACCCCAACCGTCATAAGGAAAAAAAATTCTTCCCATCTATGGAAGCAAATCTCAAGCATTTGGAAAGAGGTTGTGGGGGTAATTAAATGGCGCATTGGAAACAGTGAAAAAATTTTGTTTTGGAGGGACGTTTGGGCAGACGCAGAGAAACCTCTATATCAGCTGGCGTATCGTACAGTCCCTGAAAGTGAGATGAATCGCAAGTTGGCTGAGTTTGTCAACAACCAAGGTCAATGGAGATGGGAGCTATTCACCCCCTACTTGCCGGATGGAGTTTGGCAGTACATTGGCAATATTCCTCCACCTCAAAGTTTAACTGACCAAGACATACCATTATGGAGAGCTTCAGCTTCAGGCAAATTTTCAACGAAATCCGCTTATAATCATCTTTATTCAAATAAATGGGATCAAGATGATAGGAAATGGCAGCTACTTTGGAAATGGCAGGGCCCAGAAAGGATTAAACTGTTTATGTGGCTTCTTATGAGGAAGGCTCTTCTTTGTAACGCTGAAAGGCTGCGGAGGCATATGACTGACAACGGAAATTGCCACTTGTGTGGCGAGCTGGAAACGGAATTCCATATCTTTAGAGATTGTTTCAGGGCAAAAAGATTATGGAAAAGCATCAACACTGGGCTAGCGACTGAGTTTTGGACTGAATCATATTTAAATAAGTGGATTTCTAATAACTTATCCTCTGTTTTTGTGCAGGACAATTTTCCATGGCCAACATGGTTTGCTACAACATGTTGGAAGTTGTGGCGAGCAAAGAATGAAGAAGTATTCGCTGATACAAACACATAAGGATGCGATCTCAAACCCAGAGTGCAGGCGGCAGTCAAGGAGATCGCATGGAGCAACGAGGGGTTTACCACGCAATATGGTTCTGGTTTCATGGATACCACCTCAAAATGGTTGGACTAGGCTTAATATTGATGGTGCGGTTGATCAAGCTCAACGCCGGGCAGCAACAGGAGGTGTTTTGCGAGACCATCATGGTAACTGGCTGGCTGGCTTTGCTGCTAATATAGCGTACTGCACACCTGTCGAAGCTGAACTTCAGAGTGCTTATCACGGGTTACTCCTAGCGCGAAAAGCATCACTCAAGTCCAATTTGAGATGGATAATTTTGAGGCTTTCAAATTAATCAAGGACCTAGCTGATGATTCGGTTGATGATAGCCTTTTGACAGATACACTCAGACGGATTAGAAGACTTCTCAGACTTAGTTGGAACATTGAGTATAGATATATATTTATAGAAGGGAACAATGTGACTGATTGTTTAGCAAAATCTGGTTTTAGTAAACCAGTTGGATTACATATTTTGGCAACTCCCACTGGTGATATAACGGCTAAAATAGCCTTAGATATGCTTGGTATTCCTCAACTGAGGAGCTGTATAGTGTAATCAGTTTTATTATCCCAACTATATTTATAAAAAAAAGTACTCAATAATTTTTAAACCACCCAAACATTTAGTACGCAGATGAATTGTAAAACATTATGTAAAACAAAAAAGAAGAAGACCATTTAATTTCTTTGGTTTGAAATACACAAGCATCCCTTTTTTTTGGATTTTATATTTTTTATTTATAATTTCTTTTATGTAAACATTTTTTTTTTTAGTTTACCGTTCTCTTTGTTTCATAATTTTTTTGTGCATTTCTATTTATGTTCAAAGTTATAACTATCTTATTGTTTCTCTTCTTTTCAGAAATAAACGTAAAGTATCATTTCTCTCATTTTATACCCCGAAAGAACAATTGGTGCCCCCAAAAACCCCGTTAATTTTTTTTCAAGATAAAAAATTATAATGAAATATGTTGTGTTTGACTGTTATTTAGGGAAAATAATACTCTTAATGAAATAATGTAGTGAGAAAACATAGTGAGTGATGTGTATCCCTTATTTTGTTGCCACTTTGCCGTCCTTTCAAAATTACCCTTTTACCCTTAATTACTATAGACACATCGGTCACTATGTATTTTCACTATTTTTTCTCACTATCTGTATCATTGCTCGTTTTTTAGTGTGTAATTTTTTGGGTTAAAAATAAAGAAAAAGTACATGAAAAAACGTAAAACGAGTGCATTAATTAAAAACATAAATATATTATTTAAAATTTAATAAACACACACACACAGAAGAAAAAAGAAAAAAAAGAACCAAACCTAGTGATTGAATATTTATTTCACCATAATATGTTGAGGCAGCTCGTAGTTTCACGGAACTAAATGGGCAGAGTCATGTAATTATTATGAGAATTATAGAGATTCCAAAATGACAAGGAATATAAGCAAAAGGTAAACGGAGATCTGGGGAGAAAATGAGGTCAGATTGAAAAACAAAAAATGAGGCGACACAGAGAGAATTTGGGAATTCCTGTGAGGGTGGTTGCCCCTCTCTGTTCCGCCCATGAATTTTTTTTTTTTGTTTCTTTACCCAAAAACAACAAACCGCCCTTCGAAGATGCAGAGGGATAAGCAGCTAGGACGATGATTGTACACCTTTTTTTTTTTTTTTTCTGGTTTCTGTGTCCATAATCTGGTTTGTCTGTTCTTCTGATTTCTGAAGACTGAACAGTGTGATTTTTGCTGCTTCCCCTGCTTTTGCTTCGAATCAAAAACACCCCAGAAAGAAAAGAATAAGGTGCGAAGTGCGAACTACATTTTATCCCCCGAGTTATGGCCCGATTACGGATCGAACCCTGGAGATTTGGTAATACTGTTGCACAAAATTGAGGCTGTGATGATGAAGGTTCAATCTGAGCTGGAAATGGGCATCGAGGGAAAGTGGGCCGTATCTTGGATTGGGACGGCAAATTGTGTTGTGGAGATCTATTTTCATGGGATTTCCTCACTTTTTGCAACCCGTGGCGGTTTTTCACTCTCTCTATTAGTCTGAGCCGCCTCTTCTAGTATTATTTTCTTTTTCCTTCTCTTTTTGTTGTGTGTTTTTTTCAACTGAGCGGTTTGATTTGTGGGAGATTTGGCCTTTTATGATAGTATGTGGATCATGATAGTACTAATTTTAGTTGGAAATGACCCAAACAGATATCTTTTGTGTTCTTTCATTTCGATTTTAGAGGGTTTTGCTTATTTAAGCTAATAAATCTCAAGCATGAGGAAACTGAATTCTTTGGTGTTGGGAAAGAAAAACTTACCACTGAAATGTTAAAAACTTTCAAACCCGTCCATTAGAATAGAAGAAGTTGGAAGCGGATCAGCGCTGTGATGTTCTTTAAACTTTAAAGCTTTATTAAGGGACTGAACAGAAGTGAACCAACTTCCGATTTCATTTCGTTAAAAGAGAAGGACTGTTGATTTTTGTTTTTTTTGGGGCAAGAGAATTAAAAAAGGGAAAACCACTGGCTTGACAAGAGATATTGAAAATCCCACAGAATCTCTCTGTTCTGCCTCATTTTTTTCTTCTTTATTCATCATCTCTGAGCTCAATTAACCCAATGTTGTTTTGCCTATCTAATTTATCATCTTTTGGGCTTCCAACACTTGTCCACACCTTTGCCAATTTGGTCATCCACACTTGAAACACTACCACTTTTTAGTTTGTAGTGCAATTAGATAGTTCCAATGCCGCTAAACACTTTTAATCTGGTATTATCCTAGACTAGATGAAGAGTATACTCCCATCAATGAAGTTTACATTTATCAACGTTCTCCATCAATGGATGAACTTGAGTCGGCACATTTTCCATTGACTGTAAACCAGTAGTACTAATCACCATAGTGGGAAAATCACACATCACAAACTTACGAAAAATGAGCACAAGTTGATGGAAATGAGGACATAAAGACAACTCTCTCTTGTTGCCAAGGTCGCAGATGGGCTTGCCTCTTTTCTAGTGTCATTGTTTTTAAAGCCCAAGAAGAACACATCAAAATTCCTGTTATCGGCTAGCTGATTTTGCTCAACTTTTGCTGCAGGAAATCTGGAAATGGAAAGCTTGCTTCCAGATTGTACTTTATAACACACTACTTAAGCTTGGTTTCTAACCGCTAGTCAACTTGTTTCCATAGATTTCATTATCGTACAGAGGGAGTAAAAATTATTAATTCAACGCAAAATTTTTATCAAATATTTCAAATGCAAATTTATACATATAGGCCGATCTCATCATTTTGTGACATAAAAACAGTTATAGCAAAAGAAAACTTAAAAAAACTATACAGGGGGAATTAGGAAATCGACAAAACTATAGGGTAGGTAAAAGGTAATTAATTAATAATATATAAACAACAAAAGAAAACTTTAAAAAGAAAAATTGACATATAAAAAGGGAAAAGCCAAATTGATCCATTAGAATGAACTCAGAGTGAAAAGTGAAAAAACAAAAAAAAAAAATGAGGCTTTTCGGAGAGATTCTTTGGGAATTTCTTAAGGGTGATTGCCCCTCTCTGCTCAGCCAATGATTTTCATACCAAATTTTATTAAAAACCCAACCGCCCTTGATTGATGATGAAGAACAGCACTGCAGTATCCTTCTCAGTTTCTCATTTCCATGTCAATGTCTGATTCTCTGTTCTGAAGCCATGGGATTGACTATGGATTCTGCTTCTTCATTCAAACAATCAAACCAAAAGGGAAAGATACAAAAACGAAGAAAGAAAGAGAGAAAGAGATAGATGGATATAAGAAAAGGTAAGTATTGAAATTGAGGCTGTGATGGTGGAAATTTCACTCTGAGCAAAAATGGGGCATTGAGAGAAAAGTGGGGCCGTAGCTTGGTTTGGCAATCCCGGACGGCAAATGTTGGAAGAAGATCCATCTGGGTTTTCTGTTAACATTCTGCAACCGGTTTTTGAATTTTGCAACCATGGCGGATTTCACTCTCTCTTTGCCAAAAACTATATCTGATCCTCCTCTTAGGGGTTTTTTTTTTACCCCTCTTCTTGTACTTCAGAAAAGGGATTCTATTTTTTTCCCCCCTTCCTTTCTTAGATCTATTTTGGAGCTTGTGATATAATTTTTTGATATTTTCATAAGTTCTTTTGAGAATTTGGGATGGGTTTTTTCCAAAATCTTGGTAGGGTAGCAGAATTAGAGTATTTGATTTAGCAAACATTTCAAGATGGAGGAATCAACAGTACTGCAAATTCTTTGGTACTGCAAGTAAAAAGAAAATTATGTTTGAAAGAAAAGTAAGATAGCATTATTATATAACCAGGAAGGCTCAGATCTTGTGATGCTATTGAAAGCTTGAAGGCACTGGAAGAGTGAACAACCATGGCTGCAAATTTCCGGTTGCAATTCCGGGGAGAAAGATCCATTTTAATTTCTTCCCCTAATTCTGCCATCCGGGTTAATATTTTTTGCCCAGCCAAGATGCTGCCACGTTGTCTTCTAGTGTCCCAAAACCTTCAGGAGCTCAGAGAAATTTCATCATCATCATCATCACTGCCTCAAGGTCCAGATAATTCGTTTTAAGGGCTCTGTTTGATTAATCACAACTGTTATGAGTTTGGTGACCTGGATATTGGCAAATACATCAAGAACATTTCAATTTGCAATGTAGAATTGATTGAAGAGCCAAGAAAAAGTGCGCTATATACTATAAGTAACCATTGTTTCATGGATTACTCAATATAGCAAGGCATTTCTCAAAGTTCATACAACAAGAAGGGCTGTTGGTTCAACGGGGAATAAAAAAGAAAATCACTGGCTTTGACAGAGAGGGGGCAACCACCCTTAAGAAAATCCCACAAACTGCTCTCTGTTCTGCCTCATTTTTCTTTGCTGAATCTCTGAGCTCAATTGATTCTTTGCCCTTTTTTTTCCTCTACTATTCACTTATACCTAGTGGTTTTTTTTTTTTTTTTTGACATATAGCTAGTGGTTAACTTCACTGGTGTCCCGCCACATGTTTGCCATTTGGCGAGTTTGGTCATCTTTGGAACTTTCAATTTTAAAATTACCGAACAGTGCTGTAAATACCAATGTTCACTATGTCAGTTGGGTAGGTGGAAGTGAGGAAAAATTAGTATATTCAAAACTTTGGGTTCATTGTCAATTTTATGTTATTGATTTTCGGTTAATCAATTTTGTTTTTACTCTTTTAATTTTGTTAATTCTACCCAATTGGTCTAATTTCCGTTAACTTTAACGAATTTCCGTTAGTTTTAGAAAA